GCTTCTTCGGCGAATCCGCTTGTGTTTCACCTTATGGCGCCATACTTGGCGTGGCAGGCGATGTGTTTGCGTACAGTAACTGCATCAGAAATTACGATAGTAAAAGCAGGAATAACGTTTCAAGTCAAAACAAAGAAAGCGGATTGGAGTGGGATTGCATGGAGTTTGCAAGGCGGTATTGGATGCTTCGTGGAACTCCCGTGCGTGCAACGTTTGACTCAGTGGTCGGAGCTGCCGACATTTGGGCACTGAACTCCGTGCGGCTTCTTGACGGATCTAAAACGCCGCTGCTTAAATACCCCAACGGCCTCCCACGCCGTGATGGCGGCTCCGCTCCACGTGCCGGCGACCTGCTGATATACCCGCGTCAGCGGAATGATTTTCCGTTTGGGCACGTCGCCGTCGTTGTCGGTGTGACGAAGAACTCTGTTCTCGTTGCAGAGCAGAACTGGGACAACAAGATGTGGCCCGGACCGTATCACAACCACTCCCGCGAAATCCGCATGCTGTACAGCCCCATCCATGACGCCTACAACATTACGGAGGAGGAAAACATCATCATTGACGGGTGGATGAGGTACGCCACGTAGCTGGACATGCACTGTAAAGCGAAGAAGGGAGGAAAAACGGAGTTTGAGGCTTAAATCAATGTATTTTATTTGGGGATGTTAGACAATAACAACAACAACAACAGCAGCAAAAAAATAATATATGAAATATGAAGGTGACAGCCTATAAATATATAAATATATTTATTTAAATAAGAAATAACATTGAAGATAGGTGGTTAATGAACTTAAATACAAACACAAACATACACGAAAAACAACAACAACAACAACAAACAAGAAAGAAAGAAAGAAAAAAAATTGGGGGTGGAAGGTACGTTGGTATATATTTGAACGATTGAATCCGTTCTTTTTGACCGTTTTTTTTTTTTTTTTTGTGAGCACCCACAACCGACTTTTCACGAAACAAAAAAACTCCCCTCCCCTCCTCCTCTTGCAGGATTCGATTTTGGTCCAGCACCACCGCCCCAGGATGCCAATACATATACGTTTCCTTTTCTTTTCTTTTCTTTTTTTTTTCTGTTGTTGTTGTTGTTTTTCTCATACACTCTGACGAAAACAGTTTGATACGATGTCTTGCTTTTCTTTTTTTTTCTTTTTTTTTCTTTTTTTTTCTTTTTTTGTGTTGTTAAATCTCTTAACTCCCCCTTTTTGGTTATCATTATTATTATTGTGTTCTTTTTCTTATTTATGAGGGGGCGGATGGATGGAAGTTTGTGTTTGGCTTCCCCCTTTCTTTCTTTCTTTCTTTCTTTTCTTCGAACTTCCCGCCTTCTTCGGCCTTTTCTCCTTTTTATTTTTTATTTTTTATTTTTTATTTTTGGATGTCTCCTCCTCCTCCTGCTGCTGCTGTTTTTCCCCTTCTCCCCCTCTCGGTGTCGTGCGGCTGCCCCACCGCTATCGCCTGCGTGCGTGTGCGTCTGTCCGCGAGTCGGTTTTGGCCCGCCGCGGCGGTGGAAGCATCGTGTGGAGTGCACGGTGATGGTTGGCGAGGCATTGAGCGCAGGAGCAGCCGCCGCCCCGCACACAAACAAAAAAATAAAATAATTAAAATAAAATAAAAAAGGGAGAAAAAAACAGGAGGAGGAGGAGAAGAGGGGGGTGAAATCACGTAAAAATAAAGGAATAAAATTAAGCAAAATTTTTTTTTTTTTTTTTTGGGTGGGTGAGGGGTAAAAAAAAAAAAAAAATATTATAAAAAAAGGGGGGAAAAAAAAGAGGGAAACAAACAAAAAAGAAATAATAATAATAATAAAACGACGCGTTTGATGCAAAGTCCCGGCGGAGAGAGAAGGAGAGAGAAGGAGTCGTCACATCCCAGTAAACAAACAAACAAAATTAACATGCATGAAATGAGGAAACGTGAGAATTTCCTTCGTTTTTGTGAAGGACAGAAAGAAAGAAAGAAAGAGAGAAAAGAAAGAAAGAGAGTAAAACGATGGGATGAACGGTAAATAATGAAACAAGCGGTAAACGATGCATATTGGTCTGCCTGCATGTATTGCAACGTGTATGTATGTATAATATGTATACACTGCCTATGTAACGTATACCATGATCTTGAAGCAATTCGCATCAAATGTTGATTCTTCAGGGATGTTTTTTTTTTTTCCTTTTTTTATTGAAAAGAAAAAAAAAAAAGGAAAAAATGGTCATTGTTGTTATGAGTGATTACTTCTCTCTTCTTCTTTTTTGTTGTTTTATTGTACTCTTCCAGGCCTTTAGGCTTGTTGTCGTCATTGCTATTATGATGAAGGCAACACTATTATATGGAGTGCGGTCCCCTTGCCTTTTTTTTTTTTTTTTTTTTCTTTTATTATCCATGCGTTAACGTCTGGATCTTTTTTTTTTTTCTTTTTTTGATTGATTGATTGATTGATTGATTGAATGGGAATTTAAAAAGAATAAATTTGGGTGAATTTTGAGAGGTGCAATAGAGAACAACAACAAAACATAAATTTTTTTTTTTTTTTTCTTTTTTTTGTGGGAGAGAGGCATGTCTGCTTCCACTGGCGCCTGCCATGCTGTAAACCGAAGGGGGAAAAAAAAGAAAAAAAAACGGCAACAAAAGAGGGGGAAAAAAATAATAATAATAAAAAAAAAGGAAGATGTGAGGGGTGGTGAAGATGGGAGGCAAAAATAAAATAAAAATTATGTGGGATTTTTGTGTGGAAGGGGGGGAAAAAATGAACCCACGCGGAATTAACCGGAGAAGAGGAGGCGGGGATCGCATGTGCACTGCAATGCCGATTAACCCCTTTCTTTCCCTCCCTTTCTTTCTCTCTTTTTCTCTGTTGTGTAATGTGTCGCTTGAATCACGCACCTTTTTTTTTTTTTTTTCTTTTGATTGGTCCATTTATTTACTTATTCATTTATTCATTTTTTTGTGTGTATTTGTGTGGTCTTCTTTGCGACGTTCAAGAGTGTATTAAGGCGCCACGGGGAGAGGTGGATGAGAAGGCGTAGCATGCCAGCGAAACAACAAAAACAAAGACGACAAGAAGAAGAAGAAGAAGAAGAAGAGGGGAAAAAAAGGAAAAGAATGATTGAGGGAGTGGAACTTTCTGAGGATCTATTTGAAGAATTAAAAGAAGAGTCATACACCAGGAATATGTTACCTCATGGGGCAAGGATGCGAACGAGTAAAGAATCTTGTTTTTTTACGGGATTACCAACATGGTTTTATTCACTGTCGCACTTTTTTGTTGCACTTGGTATATGGGGTTCCATTACGTGCATGGTGTTATTTCTGCTTACAACTTCTTTAAGAAGTAAAAAATCGGAAACTTCCGTGGCAAAAACGGGTGGTACTTTCCTTCCAGAGGGATGTCGTAAGGGGTGTGACACGACATTTGGGGCCATTCTTGGCATTGTAAATGGTGTCGTGAGCTACAGCAACTGCAACTCCTCGACCTGCACTTCCAACTTGTGGCATCCAATGTCATCACTTTTGGCTCATGCTGATTATAATAATGAAAACAGATGGAATAACACCAACACAAGCGGATTGGAGTGGCAATGTGTGGAGTTTGCAAGGCGGTATTGGATGCTTCGTGGAACTCCCGTGCGTGCAACGTTTGACTCAGTGGTCGGAGCTGCCGACATTTGGGCACTGAACTCCGTGCGGCTTCTTGACGGCTCTAAAACGCCGCTGCTTAAATACCCCAACGGCCTCCCACGCCGTGATGGCGGCTCCGCTCCACGTGCCGGCGACCTGCTGATATACCCGCGTCAGCGGAATGATTTTCCGTTTGGGCACGTCGCCGTCGTTGTCGGTGTGACGAAGAACTCTGTTCTCGTTGCAGAGCAGAACTGGGACAACAAGATGTGGCCCGGACCGTATCACAACCACTCCCGCGAAATCCGCATGCTGTACAGCCCCATCCATGACGCCTACAACATTACGGAGGAGGAAAACATCATCATTGACGGGTGGATGAGGTACGCCACGTAGCTGGACATGCACTGTAAAGCGAAGAAGGGAGTTTCTTCCACGAAAAGAAGCTTTTTCTTTATTTTTATTTCCCCACGTGTGCGAAGTGACTATGCTTGTTTCAATGCCGTGAGCTTTTTGAACAGCAGAGAGGCTCGATTGGCAAGGGGAAGCGGATGCTGTGTTTTTTTTTTTTTTTTTTTAGTATGTTTCCATTTCCTTTTGTTCTTTTCTAATTTTCTTTCTCAATGAACAGAAAAACAAACAAACAAACAACAACAACAACAACAAAAAAGGGGTATGAACGAATTAAATTGGCGGGGAGGACGGATGAATTTAATATTGTCCTTTTTTTTTTCCTTTTCTTTCTGTGCATGAGGTTTTCTTTTTGTTTTGCTGGCAGGAATATACACACATACATACATATAGATTTTTATTAGTGTTGGGACGCCGGCGATGAACTCCGCCGTGAACGCCTCTCCTTCAGTGACGGTGTCGAATTTGTCTGCACCCCCGCCGAATGAGTGCACCCCGATGCTGCGGACACGTCCAGTGCCGATGGAAGCGGAGTCGATGCTGCGGCGGGAGGGGCAGGATGAGATGCCCTTTTGGGAGCGTGTTTCCTCCCCACTTCACCCGGTTTTTCGTAAGGTGCAGGAACACTGCCATTACGAGTGGGTGGCGGCGTTGCTTTCTGCCATCATGTTATTAACTCTTTTTGTTTTTATCTTTTATTTAGACACATCGCCCAGGCCAGAGCACTGTGTGACGCCGTTTGGGCACCTCTTGGGGGAAAGTAGGGGCGTAAAAGCCTTTAGCAACTGCAACAGGGATTATCGAAACGTGGAGGAACACTTTGTGCTTGTCAGGACTTCGCTGATTTACAGCGGGTTAAAGTGGCGGTCTGTGGAGTATGCGCGACGTTTTTGGTTACTTGCAAAACGGCCTGCCGTGCAGTTTATGTCTGTACAGAATGCAGAAGACATATGGACAAGAGTTGTGTATGCGTCGTACATTACTGGAGAACGTGTGAAACTGTTCAAGTATGAAAACATGTTGGCATGTGATCAGACACCGACGAAAAATACTGGTATGAAGAAGAGTTTATGGAAACATTATAAGCCACAAGTTGGTGATCTACTTGTCTATGCAAATGACAGCAGCATACCAGGAGGACATGTTGCCGTTGTTGTAGGTATTGTTTCCATGCCAAGCAATTCTGGTGCGAATAATTCCTCGATGACGCAATATTCCATGCTACTAGCAGAGCAGAACTGGAATAATGAGCCCTGGCCCCACCGTAGTAATTTGGAAGGGAAGGACACACGCAACGACACCAGATTGCTTGGCTACTACTCACGCGAGGTATCTTTACAGGAAGTAGAAAGTGCGCAAATGGTGTGTGTGAAGGATCCATGGGGAACTGTGCTTGGTTGGGTCCGGGCGTGAATCAACGAGTTTAAAAAACGAGGTGTTGGAATTTTTATCGTGATTATTATTATTATTATTATTATTATTTTTTCTTATATATATATATATGCCCCCCTCAGAGGGAAAAACGAGGAGAACAATAAAATGGGGGAAGAATGATGGATGCATCACCTTTTTTCTGTTGCGGGGGGGGGCTGTCGTTTTTTATCTGCAGCTGGTGGTGTCTTTTTTTCTTTTTTTTTTTTTTTTTCCACATGACTTCTTCTGGGAAAAGAGAGGTGTTCGAACGGGCGGCGATGGTGTCGAAAGACTCCCGTTATGTTCACCGCCGTTGGCGACTGGAGGATGCCACGCTGATGATTCAGAACCCAAAACTGGAGCTTCTCATTGACTTCGACGATCCTGCAAGTTTTACCCTCGCGGCAAACGCCCCGCTCACGTCGGGGGTTCGACGCACCGCTTCAACGTGGGGCGGCGTCGAAGGTGCCCTCAATCTCAATTCAGACGACGAGCTCTTGGCGGATTGGCGGGAAATTGGCGTGCCACCACTGACAGAAGAATGAGTGGACATTAATAGAGTTTTGAGTTGAAGAACATGCCGAGGCTCGAGGCACCGTAGTGTTGTTGTTTGCTCGTATACATATATACATATATCTACATATGCAAGCATACATAAATACATATGTTTATTTCTGCGTATATTTGGGGTGAGAAGGAAAAATTGCTGGCGGTATTTTCTTTAACTCCTGGTCGCCTTTATTTTGCCTCCCTTTTTCCTCTGCTGTAATTTTTGTAATTATTATTATTATTATTATTATTATTATTATTATTATTATTATTATTATTATTATTATTATTATTATTATTATTATTGAAAAAAATAAATGAATGATTAAAATGCGAAGGAAGAGCCAAACAAACGAAAGAAAAAAATAAGGGTGAGGGCGGTGAGATGAGCACGGCGTCCGTCAGGGAGGAATTGACAGGCGAAACACAGCGGCATGCGGGGAGCGATCTGCTGTTGCGAAAGCTTCCTCTTCTCGCCAAGGCTTATGCGCTTGCACAGCAGCACCCAAAGGATCCACAGGCGGAGTGCAATTTGCTTTGCTACGGACCAGAAGTGTATCGTATTCTTTCAACTGCACGCCGGCGAGATGACCGCGGCTTCTTGCGACCTCGACAATGTCAACGTTTGGAGGCGGAAGAAGATGACGACATTGACGATGAGAAGAAAAGGGAATCAAGGATGGATGCCGTGGTGATGCTACCGACACGCATTCCGTTTCTTGGCGTAATAGAGTCGGAGCTTTGCAAGTCAATGGAATCCGTACAAGAGGCCCGCAGTAGGAAGAAAGGATCGGAAGGTGTTACTGCGGATGCAATAAGTGCGAACGGTGCATCGAGGCGCATCGGTGGCAAGAGAAGGAGGCATGGAGCGGAGGCGGATGCACAAAAGGGCAATGATGAGAGTGATGAGGAGGAAAATGAGGATACGGGAGTGAAGGAGGGGGATGGTGGCACACGAAGTAGGATGGAGTATGATGTGGGCGGTGAGGAATGTGTCTTGCTGCGTGCCATTCGTGAGCCGCTAGCGGCGTGGTGTGCGGGGGATAAAAAAAATCAAGCTGGTGCGACGGGCGCCAGCAACACCAGAAACGGCCACAAGAACAGTGGTTTCAGCGAGGGAGTTGGGGGTGGCCGGATGCCGTGGGAACAGATGCTGGAGAGCATCATGAGCCGCTACGGCGCCGCGGATGTGGAACAGGATGGCGAGGCTGTTCAGTCATATCTTCGCCGAGTGTCATGGATTGAGCAGCAGAAAAAACTGCAGCTGGGGCTCGGCGCGGCTACAGGGACGCGTCATCACAGCGAACAGCCGTGGATGAGCATGACAGATGCGATGCGAGTGCAGAAGGAGATGCAGCGCATGCGTCTTCAACGAAAGCGGTTTCACCGTCCGCATAAATCAACAGAGGGGTGAAACTGAAAAAAGAAAAACAAGTGGAAGGTGGATGGAGTGTGTACATAAATGGGGGATCATGAGTCGCATGTTCTCCCATTGTTTTTTTTTTTTTGGTTAGAACCATGTGTCTCTGTTTCTCTCTCTCTCTCTGTGTGTGTGTGTGCACCAGCATTGTTGCTATGTGGCATCTTTCTTCCTCTTTTTTGCTTGTCTTAGAAGCTGGTGGTGAGAGAATCAAGAGGACCGTCGTTTTTCCTGATTTTTTTCTTGACTTTCACACACATACATAAATTGTAAGATACAAATAAGTGGCGGCAGAGTGGCGGCAGAGGAAAGGGGGAGGGAGAGGGGCGAGTGGAGGGGGGAAAAAGAAAAAAAAGGAAGGGAATGATGTCAGAGTCCTGTTCCAAGAATGAGGGCGAGTACAGCCATTGCTCTGCCGTCAGTGTGAGTGGCAACGGGGATTCTCTTTATGGTGGGAAGCGTCGACGCCGTAGTTTTAATGGGCCGTCACGCCCCATCCTTAAGATATTCGGGAGGGATGAGAGAGAAACAATAGGCCCCGTTGACCCGAGAAATGCCAATAGTTCTGCCTTCTCACGGAGCTCCAATGGGGGAATTTATCCGCCTTTCCGTGAGCAACGCTACACCCTCCGCCATGACACCTTTAGCCTCAGTAGTGATGTTTTTAGCAGCCGTGATTCTAGTAGCGGTTCCTTCATGCAAGGCAAAAACATTCATAGCAGGAGCAAAGACTTCCCCGTGCTTCAGCCTAAGCAAAAAGAGCAACCACAAGGACAGTTGGCTTTTTATACGGAGAAGACAGCCCAAATCAAGGAGGGTTTTTCCTCCCTATCCATGTCGCAAATTCTTCCCCTGGATGAGTCACCTTCCCCTGTGAATGAGAAGGCAAATGGGAGTGCGAAGGACAATGTGATGGAGAGTGGTACAAATGCCACAAATGTTGGTACCTCTATCCCAGAATTTGCACCCCAGAGTAAGGCAACGGCAGGAAATATCCAGCAGAAATCCTGGAGCATAGATGGAAGCGCTGCACGTCAGTTCATCGGTTTCTCCCACTCCACGTTGTCTGAGTTAACTTGTGTACAACTTTCGCCTTTTGAGATGCCTGTCTTTCCAAATATCGATTCGTTAGGAACATCGGTTGCCGCCGATGAGAATTTCAAAAAAGAAGTGAAGGAAAAAGAAAAGGAATGTCAGCAGCAAAAAAACGGACGGCCGATTTGCGTTGCGCCAAAGGAAGAGTCTCCGTTAGCGTGGAGTTTCAACACCACATCTCGAGAAATGCCCATTATGCATCAGTTGCCTCCTCTTTTCGATGATTGCGATTCGGAAAGAGAACGTTGTAAATTTATTTGCCATCCATTTCTTTTATTTATTTTGCTTGGTCTTCTGTTGCCATTTGCACTTCAGGAATTGTTTGTGGTGGTAAACCACTTTGCGACGTCTGGACCAATTATTTGTGGTGGAGTGAAATGTGTATGCTCCTTGGAGGATGTATTATTGTATATCTTTGCCTACGGAATACATATGTATATTCCCTTTGCCCTTTTTTCGCCCACATTATTTTTCCTTTCGTATGATGTGGTTTTGCAGAAGGCGCGGGAAAAAGAGTTACGGGCCCGCATGGAATGTTACGCTGTGCCAGAGCACACATCCTCTCACCCTTGTCCTCACACAGCCGACCGCATAGCTGCGTCCTCTCGGCAAGGCGGTGGAGACAGGGAATTTCCTCGTGAAACAAACGATTTTTCTCTTCTTCATTGGGATTTACCCTCATGTTTTAGCATTATGCGTCGGGGGGCAGTATTTTGGATAATTGTTGTGGCACGTTTTGTTTTATTAGCCATAATGGATACACAATTGCCTCTTATGTCCAAAGTCCCCGTTGCTGTGTGGGGACCCATGCGGTTAGTAGCCTTATCGTTGCCGCTTATAATTTATTCACTTTACGAGACTCGACCTTTTTTTGCCGTGCCGTATGTTTTATTAGATGCCTTTCCTCTATTGTTTCAGGTTATTTTGGGAGACAATAACATGCCGGTAAATACACGTTGCATGGCAGGCCCGATGCTTTTGGTTGTACTTGAAAGGTGCTTGTGGTATGTGTCAGTCACGGCTATACCAGAAGAAGTACCTGTGGGTGTTAAAATAACCGTTAGTGCAACCTTTACTGCTATGTATTTTGTGTTAATTCTGGCATTATCACTTCTTGTGGATATTAAGAATGGATTTTATGTGGCTATTGTTATGGCTTTGCAAGTATTTTTTTTAGAGCTACTTTTTAATATACTCTTACTGGAACTTCTTGCATTTCGCCTTTATACTTTTGTGATGAAATCCGTGTTTCGCCGAACGGTTGAGTTACCTCAAATGAAATGCACAGATTCAACAAATATATCCACACAAGTACGTTGGCCAACTTTGATAATTGCAATTGGTGCTATTTCTCCATTTTTTCAGTTTCATCAATGGCCCCGAGCAATACCACATAGCGATTGCCATGGCATTTTATCAAAAAAGATTATTGTACACATTGGAATGTTCTTTATTGTCATTGGCGTTATTATACTGGCTACCGTGATTACACTTATTGCCCGCTGGAAACATGAAGTACTTCGCATGCCGTTAATTTTGGAGGATTGGTTTCTGTTATTCATTTGGGGATGGTACGTTTTTTCTTCTGTCCCGTTGGCGTTGGCAGCTGTATTTTGAGGAAACCCTTCCCTCTCACCCAGTTCGCATATCTTCTTTTTTTTCCTTTTTTTCTTCATTTCTTAGTGAATGTGTTGTTTTTGTTCCTTCTACTGCTGGTGTTGCGGAGGAAAAAAAAAAAAAAAAAAAGAAAGAAACAATTGGATTTGATTCATACATTATTGCCGAATTAAGAATCTCTTCTTTTGCGGGTTCTGTCATGAGTATGTTGTCGCACCCTTTTTCCACATGTGTGCGTGCGTGTGTATTTTAATAAATGGAGAGACAAGGCGGTTTCTTTTTTTTTTGTTGTTGTTATTTTCTCATTTTAGGAAATATTTATAGAGAGAGAGAGAGAGAGAGAGAGAGAGAGAGAAAACGGGAAAGGGCGGCCTCATCGAAGCGCAAATTCACCTGCGGTCATATTTATTTATTTATTTACATTAAGAGCGGAAGATATATATTTAATTAGTAAAAGTTAATGAAACGCTCTGTATTGAAGTTCAACGTCCGACATGCGGTTTTCAGCGCTGCAGCAGTGACGGACGGACCCGCCACCGCACGGCCTGCCACCGGCATCGAGTGGACATCATTAAAATCAGGCCAGCGTGAACTGTGCGAGAGGGGACGAGTACGCATCTACTCCGCTGCCCGGCTCCGCAGGCGCCTGGAGAAAAACATGGAGTGGACACCGGAGAAGTGAGGAAATTGTGTTTCACCAAGAAGTTGGCGCAGATTCTTTTTTGACGTGGAACGGCTCTGCTGCCAGCAGCGCCTCCGCGCAACGAGAGGACACAAGAGCTCTCGCAGATGCGGCATAAAGCCGATGCTGGTGGCATTTATTTCTTACTTTCTTTCCATTTTTTATGGATTGCCTGGTTTGTTGATTTGTTATTTCATTGATTCTCGGCAACGCCGGATTATCGAGCTATCGTGCCAGCCCGGGGCGGATGCGTAACGCGGTTGTGTTTCGCGCCTTCCCACTGCAGCGCCATCTCCGGGTGTCGGGGCTCTCTTTCGCATCTTCACTCAGCAGGGCGGACGTGCTTGACGATGGTGGCTGGCATAACAGCCAACAAATTTATTTTTAAAAAACACAAGCAAAAAAAAAAAAAAAAAAAGAAAAGGACGGTGTGGCTCTCATAATTGATATGTTCAATTTTTTAATTGTTTTAATCCATTTTTTTCCTTTTCTTTTATTTGGCAATGCCGTTGGTGCATTGCACATATAATAAACGTGTACTGACGCAGCTTTTTTCCTTTTCTATTCTTACCAATCGATTGACTACGCCCCTCCAATGTGCAGCTCTGGTAAGCGTACGCTGGAATTCAGCAGCAAGGAGCAACCTTACCCCGCGGGCGGCCATTAGAAATGGCTCCATCTTGTGCCCTTTCGGTCCGTAAAACTAAGTAAACAAGTACGCATCTGGTTTGAAGCATAAGCAGCAGACGCTTATCTTCCTCTCTAGTAAGAGAGTGCTAGACCCTGGCGCCGCGTCGAGGTGGCCGGCTGCGCCAGGGATTGACGCACATAATATATATATTCACGAATTCGATAGCATCGGATGGTTTGAGCCATCAAAGAGTTTCTGTACATTTGGTTATTTGATGGATGCATTTATTAGCATTGAACAATAAAAAAGTTCTTAAATAAGCAATGGGAGTAATCTTCTGGGCCGCTGGCCGGCTCCTGGACTTATCTCAATAAACCAAAAAAGATAGGGAAAAAGTGGGTTAGCGCAGAAGCGGCTAAATGCCTCAATGTTTTCTTGTGATAAAACATATGCATTCTGTTGACCACTCACGCGGCCTTTTGAACTCAGGATCTGGAATATCATTACTTACGGAGTGGCGGACTTTGGGGTCCTGCAGCCACAGGACACCGCCGCTTCCCCTCGCCAAGTCCTGAATTGTAAAAACACGACCGCGCGGTATGCCGTCTGCGCGGTTGTCTGCAGACCGCACGTAGGCAAAGGATGCCTGTATTCCGCGTGAGTCAAAAAAACTCATATGTCCGTCGCAGCTCCCACATCATGGTCTGTGATTTTGAGCTGCCTTTATTCGCCGCTCCTCGCAGCGAAGTGCTGTCTACCCAAACGTCCATAGTGGATGGCAAGATGGCGGAAAAAGCCGACACGGCAAAGCGTACCGCGCGCGCCTCGGCCTGCATGATGAGAAAACGCTTCCTCTTCCATTTTCCTCCGGCAATTTTAACGTCGCCGCAGCTGGAATGAAAACGGCTCCTCCTCATCCATGGAGCGATGCATCCGCGATGATGGTGGCCGATGCCTTTTCCGTGGGATTGATGTTTCGCCGACGATTATTCTCGCTGATGTGTCGCAATCCCTCGCCCAATCCAACCGCTACCGGCGGAAGGTTCGCCGGGGATGTCTCCTGCACCATCCCCCGGTCAAGTGCGGATAATCGTCGTCGCGCTGCCTTGATGAAAAAGTGGCAGTCACATAAACGCGTGCCCAAAATGGCCGCCACGTACAAAAAGCGTGACGCCATACCTCCATTTCCGCGATGGTTAAAGATTTGAGCGCCGACATGGCGCGCACAGACCAGACAAATTTGTCGCTCAGGGCCACCGCCCGGTGAGTATGATCAAACCGCGCCCCCGACGAAGGTGTACTGCGTGGCGCCCGATTCGCTGTCCTTCCCCATCGTGGCGTGACGGCCATCCGCATTGCGAAGCAGTTTGGCCTCCCACGATGTCGCACCGCTTTTCGACTCTGCGGTGCGCATATTGTCGATCCAAACGTCGACACGCGCCAACGAAGATGCAGCCCAGAGGCGGTGAACCACCGTCGTCACCTCGGCGACTGCTAATAATAATCTGGAGAATTTCTGGGCCGGCCTTGTATCCTATTGGGAGCCGTGCCAGCTCCACCAGCGCGCCGTCCTCCACGCAGAATCGAAAGGGATGCCGAGTCTCCCGCGGTAAAAAGGCTTGAAAAAAGACGCCTTTAATTCCAGGCAGAAAGCGGCCTCAGCCATCACAGGCGGCAAATAATGGGAAATGCGCAAAAAAGGAACATGAGCCTCGGAAGGGTCGTGTCTGTTCTTGTCGCGCGGCCCCGCGATCCATCGTCGTCGCAAACCGGTGGCCTTCTCCTCCGCAAACAAACGAAAAGGGTATTATCCATCCACCCGTTATCGCAGAATAGGCGTCCTCAATTGTTCCCACTTAATTCAATAATCGCGCGTCGTCGACTGGAATCCTCCGTGGGCTTTCGTCTGATGTGGCGGGGGGCTGGGGAAAAGGGGAACCGCCCGACGCGTCCTTGTCGCGAGTCTTGTGATTGCGGCGGGGTGATGATAAAAACCACGGAAAACACGCTCCTCTGCTGTCAACCAGGATTCCTGCCCTTCCGCAGTTTTCCCCTCACATCAACGCGGCCAGCGACGACGCCTGAGCCGGCGTTGCGGCGCGCTTCCCCGGATATCGCGCTGTGTCCTTGGAAGAAGAACGGCTCGCCGTCATCCGCGCAAGTCGGAATGCAACCCGTCACTCCCATTCGGCCCGGCTGCGGGTAAATTGATCCGCCTCTTCCTTTTTAAAGGGCGCGCCCGCTTCGTCTCCGATCGCGCCGCGATTTTTTGCAACCTCAGAACCGCCACGCCCAGCGGAGTCCGATTCATTTGCGACATGGACCGCGGCATCCTGGCGTCCTGCGGTCGGGTCGGTGGCGCCACGTCGTCGGTTGCCATCGAAAAGGCCGCGCGGCTCGCCTCTTTGTTCGGCTGTTCGCGTGTGCGGCGGAGGGTTGTGAGGCGCCCGCCTGCGACCTTCTCCGCTCCCACGCCGACGTCGCAAACAATTCCCGAGCCACCTTGTTCGCCCTCCTCGTGTCGCCGGCCCGAAGCGGGGTGCCGGAGCGCCGTCGCACCACAGTCGGGCTCCGTTGGCGAACAAGCCCCTTCACCCTTCTCGGCGATTGCGTCGGGCAATTTGAAACATCGGGTGGAGGTTCGGCGCGGCGCCTGTGCGGGACGGCGGGTGGTGGCGGCATGGGTGGGGCCGCCGCCGTTGTTGACGGCCGTCCGCGTCGCGATTGATTCCTTCTGGCCGCGCCTCGGGCTTTGCGTGCGGACGCCTCGCGCCCACAAATGCGACGCCGCTGACGTCGCACGGTCGTTGTGCCCCTCCCCGTTCCGCGAGAGGCCGGGCTGCCCTCGCAAAGGCGTCGGCTTCATGAACGGCGGTGTGAAGTCGGGCGCGCTGTTTGGAGAGCAGGGTGTTGGGGTCCGACGCCGTCATGAGCTGCGTCCGGAATGCCTGCAGTAAGGTCCGGCCAAAATCCATGAAACGATCGGCGGGATCGCGCTCCGCTTCCAGCGCGCGCGCTCACGTCCACAAAGCCAAACTGTCAAAGGGAGGTTCAGCCTGGCCGCCCGCCTGATGCCAATGATTTTGTGCGCCCCGGAGGTCGACAACGACTCCGGAAACGCCCTCATTCCACACACGTGCGGCCCGAGAGGTGGCGTCGAACGCGCGAAAACTTCGTTCCGCTTCTTCTGTGACAGAATGGGCGTCCGAGGGGAGGGTGTGAGAGGGCAAAGGCAATGGAGGGATAGAAACGCAGTCTCCCAAAATTGCCCTGCGACGAATGGGGAATAACCCACCGTCTCTCGTCCGCCGGGCTTCGTCGGGCCGTGCGTGGCGGCGCGCCCCCAACCACCAAACGACGCGTTGGACGCTGCGGTTGTTTGGTGACGCCATCTCCGGCCGTATTTTGACGCGTGTCAGGTCCATCTGCCGGGCCTCTCCGAGAGGTGGGGGCTTCTTCCCTGCCCGCCGTCTCCGCCTCCCGCGCGGCTCGCTGCGCTTCTCTGGCGCCAGCGCGCGCCTCTCGTTCCTGTAGTTGGGCGCGGGTCGCCTCCAACTGCTGTTCGCGTCCGGCGACCGCGCATTCTAGCTTCGCGCGCCGATAGGCTATTATGCGCCTCTTCCGCCCGCGTGTGAAGCTCGGTGTTTCGATCCCGCGCGCCCGCGATGGCATAGGCGTGGTCCGTGC